CGGAATTAAACCTTGGGGCCGGTCGGCTCAGAACTTAAAGAAGGGGGAGGCCGACCGCCAGGACAAAAACCGCATACCAGGTCAGACCACGCTAGAGATCCGGAGCCTTCGGCAGATCGCAAACCGGTTTCAGGAGAAGCTGGGAGACCAAGAGTGGTGCGTGGAGAGATGGGGAGACATGGGAAGAGATGGCCAGAGCTGGGGCCAGATCCTGTGAGATGGGGAGAGTGGGGAGATATTGGGAGAGATGGGGAGAGATGGGGAGAGATGGGGAGAGATGGGGAGGGATGGGGAGAGATGGGGTGAGATGGGGAGAGGTGGGGAGAGATGGGGAGAGATGGGGAGAGATGGGGAGAGATGGGGAGAGATGGGGAGAGATGGGGAGAGATGGGGAGGGATGGCTCCTCCCTCGGCAGGCCATTCGAGGCGTGCAGGGAGCGGCGCCGTCGCCTCTCTTGCCCGGGCCACCACCGCACCGGCCTTGTCTCCCTCCCTACACCCGCAGGTCCAGATGGTGGCGCACTCGTTTCTCTTTCCGAGCAACTTTGGCGGGCAGGAGGGCATGATCGCCGTGCACCTCGTCAGCTGCTACGGCGAGATCTAGCCGAGATACAGCCGAGATACAGCCGAGGGAGGGCATGATCGCCGTGCGCCTCGTCAGCTGCTACGGCCACACGCCACGCTGCGACGCGTGCGTCCGCCCCTCCCTACTCCGTCTTGAGCCGCGCGCGCGTCCGGCACGAGGGTAGGCCACGCTATCTACAAGGAGTGCGTCTACAAGCACGAGTGGTTCTGCGAGCCGGCCGCCGAGCTCCTCGCCGGCGACATGCCCGCGACACGTCCACGACACGTCCGAGACACGTCCCGTACAGGTCGCCGAGCTCCTCGACGGCGACATGCCCGCGACACGTCCACGACACGTCCGAGACATGTCCCGTACAGGTCGCCGAGCTCCTCGACGGCGACATGCCCGCGACACGTCCACGACACGTCCGAGACACGTCCCGTACAGGTCGCCGAGCTGCTCGAGTCATGGGCGGGCTACCGCGAGTGGAGGATGGAGGAGTTCCCAGAGTCGCCGGTCGCGCCGCGCCCTTCGCGCCTCGCCCGTGGAGGCAGCAGCCGGCCGTGAGGAGGGCGGCGGCGCGCCGTTGTAGGTCGACTTGACGTTTGTCTCGTACCCGGTCGTCTACGAGGATATCATCATGGGGATCGAGTGGGGGATGGCCCTCTCGACGGTCGCGACCATCCTCGCCTTCATCGTGCTCGCAATCATGCTGCGCAACATCCGGCCGCCCGGCCGCCTGGTCGCTGCCACCCCACGGCCACGCCGCGGACATGTCTGCGACATGTCCTCCCCGTAGGCAGCTCGGCCTGGTCCATATCTCCCCATATCTCCCCATATCTCCCCCATATCTCCCCGTATCTCCCCGTAGGCAGCTCGGCCTCGTCGCCTGCAACATTCTGACCGGGATCGGCACAGCCGTCGGCATCATGAGCACCGGGGCGGACCGTGGGCACGTCGTAGACCCTTCCTTGCATCACACACCTCAGGCACCACCCTCCTCATCATGTACCCCGTCTCGTACTACGTGATGGACGTGAACGTGTGCGCGCCCGCGATGCTCGTGGCGGTGGCCGTCGCCATGTCCGTCGACTCATCGTCCCCACTGCTCAACGAGTTGACGGAAGCCGTGAGGGTGCTAGGTGGCCCTCGCCATGTCCATCGACTATTCCCTCTTCCTCCTCACGCGCTTCAACGAGGAGCGACGGCGGCCGCTCTCTCCTCTCGCCCGGAACCTTCTCGGCACCGTCTCGGAGCCTTCCCCGTTAGGAGCGCCTCGACGGCCGCTCGATCACGCAGTCGCTCGAGATCGCCCTCGCCACTCAGGGCCACACCATCGTCGTCTCTGGTGCCCCCCCCCCCCCCCCCCACACTATCCCAGGGGGGGGGGGAGACCCCCCCGGGGGGGTGTGGGGGGGGGGGGCTCTCCCAGAAAAAGCCCTACAAAAAGGGATGGTGTTTTCCCTCCCCAAAAAAGAGGGTTATTAAAAAAGGGGGGAAAATGGCGAGCTTTCCTTTTTTTAATTATACCCCCGGGGGCATTTTTTCGGGGGAAATTTTTGGGGACCCTTCTCTTAAAAAGAAATGACCCCCGGGGGCGCGTCTTATATAGACCCAAAGCCACGGAGAGTTATCCCCCCCCCGCAAAGAGGGACCCGCACCCTTGTTTGTTTTTGGGGGGGCCCCCCCCCCCCGCCCCAACATATTAATACTGCCTGCCCACCCGGAGCAGCTTCATGTGAGAAAATCCTCCAGCGCCCACCACCGTCACCCCCCTTTTCGCCACTGCGATTCCGTCGTGCGACTCGAGCAGGCGCCACCCTCGCCCTCTGCTTCACCTCCATGCTCGTGCTGCCAACCTCCACAATCACTTCCATGGCGGCCGGCGCCGCGACGGCGGTGCTGCAGTCTGTGCTCGTCTCGCTCTCGCTCACGCCCGCGCTGCTGCTCACCATGCCCCGCTTCTTCACCGCCGACCGCATGCTCGGCCTCACCCTCGACGGCGCGCCCCTCGGCACGTACCGGGACACCTCCGCGACACTTCCGGGACACCTCCGGCTCCACACCTCAGGCACACCCTTCGGCACGTACCGCCGTGCGTCGAGCGGCACGGTGGCGCAGTTCGGCGCGACGATCGACCGCCCGACCATCATCGAGAACCCGCAGCCCAAGAAGGAGTCGATCTGGGCGCACCTCGGCCGCTGCTCGCAGCGCGGCGCGCCGGTGATGTTCCTCTTCCTCGCGCTGGTGATGGTTCCGTTCGCGATGGCGCTCACGCGCTTCTCGTACGTCGAGGACCTGACGCCGCTCATGCAGACGACCCACCCGGCGACCAAGGCCTTCATCTCCATCTCCAACATCTACGGGCAGGAGCTGACCACCCCGTCGGACCGGAAGTACCTCGTGCGTGTGGAGACGTCTGACGTCTCTCCCCTTCCCTTCCCTAGGACCTGACCACGCCGGTGCAGCTGCTGATCATGGCGCCGTCGCAAAAGGCGATGGCGAGCCGCGAGTGGTCGCTGGCGACCTGCCACATGCTGCAGGACCTCGCCACAAAGGTGACCGACCGGATGCACGAGGAGGGGGGCGGCTGCGCCATGTGCGACCTGTCCGCGACGCGTCCGCGACACGTCCGAGGCGCCTCCCGTAGGAGGGGCACGACTACACCATGACGACGGCCGACTTCAACGGTCTGATGATCTTCCGCGGCGGCTGCCTCGCCGACGGGCTCAAGTTCGGCGTGATCGACGTGATGCCCGCGGTGCCACATGCACATGCACATGCACATGCACATGCACACGCACACGCACACGCACATGCACACGCACATGCACATGCACATGCACATGCACATGCACATGCACATGCACACGCACACGCACATGCACATGCACATGCACATGCACATGCACATGCACATGCACATGCACATGCACACGCACATGCACATGCACATGCACATGCACATGCAGCGCGTGTGCGGCGGGCCCGCGACACGTCCGCGACATGTCCGAGACACGTCCCGCAGGTGCACATGTACGGGATGTACGACATGTCCAGGACACGTCCGCGACATGTCCGAGACATGTCCCGCAGGTGCACATGTACGGTATGTACGACATGTCCAGGACACGTCCACGACATGTCCGAGACATGTCCCGCAGGTGCACATGTACGGTATGCACGACATGTCCAGGACACGTCCGCGACATGTCCGAGACATGTCCCGCAGGTGCACATGTACGGCATGTACGACATGTCCAGGACACGTCCACGACATGTCCGAGACATGTCCCGCAGGTGCACATGTACGGGATGTACGACATGTCCAGGACACGTCCGCGACATGTCCGAGACATGTCCCGCAGGTGCACATGTACGGCATGTACGACATGGTGGCCGACCTGCTCTCGAACCGCAACCAGACGGCGACGCAGGTCTACGTGCACTGCCAGGTCGACCTCTTCTCCGAGGTTGGCGAGGCGTGGATGCGAGCCGTCCGCGCGTCGCTGCCGCGCCCAGACGTGATCCGGCAGCCGCTCGGCGGCCACCAGGACGCGGACTCTGCAAACTACGTGCCGTACGGCCGGTGGGACGACGTGGAGATCGGCGCGCTGTGGTAAGTGAATGAGTGAATCGAAAGGAATCCATTCATTCAGGTGGGACGACGTGGAGATCGGCGCGCTGCACCTCTACGGCGTGCCGCGCGAGGGTCCCCTACCCCCCACAGTACCGCAACCCTTCCCCTACCCCTACAGTACCCGAACCCAGGCATGCCGCTCGAGCAGATGGACGGCGCGCAGTACACGCTGCGCCGGATGCCGTACGTCGGCCTCGCCATCGCCGCGATCGTCTGCATCATTCTGGGCCCGCCGACAAGGAGCAGCTGAGACGTCTCGCCAGAGTGGCGCGTGGTGACTGTGGGAGATGGCCATCACCAGGCGGCTCGTTCGGCACGGCGCTCATCCCCGTCCGCGCCGTGATTTGCATCGCCTGGATGCTCGTCGTCACCTTTGGCGCGTCGGTGATGGTGTACCAGCTCGGCTACCTCGAGGGGCTCGGCGTCCCCGCCCCGTCCCCGCTCGCCTACCGGCTACGTGCAGAGACACAAACGCCCACCCCCCCCCCCTTTGTGCGCGACACGTGTAGGCATCCAGGCCCTGTCGCCCTCTTCGGGGCAGGCGCTCTTCTGGATCTCACCGTCGGTCGCCGTCGCCGTGCTGGTCGGGCTCGGCCTCGACTACGACATGTCCGGGACACGTCCGCGACACGTCCGAGACATGTCCCGTACAGGTCGGGCTCGGCCTCGACTACGACATCTTCTTGATGGACTCGGTCATGGAGCACTGGCAGAGCGGCAAGGACGGCAAGTCAGCGGTGGTCACTTCCCTCGACCAGGCGAGCCGAAACAAGGGAGGGGTGGGGAGAGGTGGGGAGAGGTGGCTCTCGGCCCATCTGCTCGCGGCCCATCTGGGCCTCCCTCGGCTCATCTCGCCACCCTCGCCCCCCTGCTAGGCGGGCACCATCATCTCGGCCGCCGGCGTCCTCATGTCCTCGCGTTCGGCTGTGAACAAGGAAGTGTCTCGGAAGTGTCTCGGAAGTGTCTATAGGCGTCATCATGTTCCTCGCGTTCGGCTGTGAACAAGGAAGTGTCTCGGAAGTGTCTCGGAAGTGTCTATAGGCGTCATCATGTTCCTCGCGTTCGGCGCGCTGCTCGCGTCGACGACGCCTGTGCTCAACCAGATCGGCTTCATGCTCTGCGTCGGCGTCCTCCTCGACTGCTTCGTGACGACAAAGGCGAGAGCCCCGCCGGGAGGAGCTTGGGAGGAGCCCGGGAGGTGGCCGAGAGGTGGCCGAGAGATGGCCGAGAGATGGCCGAGAGCTGGCCGAGAGGTGGCCGAGAGGTGGCCGAGAGGTGGCCGAGAGGTGGCCGAGAGATGGCCGAGAGATGGCCGAGGGATGGCCGGGAGATGGCCGAGAGATGGCCGAGAGATGGCCGAGAGATAGCCGAGAGGTGGCCGAGAGATAGCCGAGAGATGGCCGAGAGATGGCCGAGAGAAGGCCGAGAGATGGCCGAGAGAGGGCCGAGAGAGGGCCGAGAGAGGGCCGAGAGGTGGCCGAGAGGTGGCCGAGAGGTGGCCGAGAGATGGCCGAGAGATGGCCGAGAGCTGGCCGAGAGCTGGCCGAGAGCTGGCCGAGAGATGGCCGAGAGATAGCCGAGAGGTGGCCGAGAGGTGAGCCGAGAGATAGCCGAGAGATGGCCGAGAGATGGCTGAGAGATAGCCGAGAGGTGGCCGAGAGGTGGCCGAGAGGTGGCCGAGAGGTGGCCGAGAGATGGCCGAGAGACAGCCGAGAGATGGCCGAGAGATGGCCGAGAGATGGCCGAGAGGTGGCCGAGAGGTGGCCGAGAGGTGGCCGAGAGGTGGCCGAGAGGTGGCCGAGAGATAGCCGAGAGATGGCCGAGAGGTGAGCCGAGAGGGGGCCGAGAGAGGTGGCCGAGGCGGGGCCCTCAGGTCTCGTCCTCCTCGCCCCTCCCCTGGGGCCTGCCCGCTCTCCCGGGACTGCGACGGTTGCACTGGGGCTCCTCCCCCGACGCCGAGCTGCCCTCGGGCCACGGGGCCCTGGGGCCTGCCCGCTCTCCCGGGACTGCGACGGTTGCAGTGGGGCTCCTCCCCCGACGCCGAGCTGCCCTCGGGCCACGGGGGCCCCGTGCCCCATTCTGACGGACTCACGCCCCACTCACTCCTCAGCCTCGCTCCTCAGGTCACCATTCCGTGCCTCATGGCCCTCGTCCCCGACGACGCCAACTTCTGGCCGCTCAAGCAGTCGGCCACGCGCGAGCTGGCGATCGGGAGAGAACCGTCCTTTGGCCTCGAGGGTGAGATCTCCCGAGATTGCCCGAGATTGTCCTCTCGAGGGCGAGAGGAGCCCGAGAGGAGCCCGAGAGGAGCCGAGGTTGCCTCAAGCCATCCCGAGATCGGCCGAGATCACGCGAGCTCACCGCAGATGCCGACGTCAAGACGCCCTTCCTGCTCACTCGCGGTTAGCCGGTCGCTGACACCGCCTCTCTGATGGCCACTAGGCATCGGCCAGCCGCCTGGCTTCCGCCGCTCGCTCTCTTGGAAGTGGAAGTACGGCGTCGCCCTCGAGCACCTTGGCCACACAATCTAGAGCAGATTGTCCCCACCCACCCCCTACCCCTCCCCTCTGGGCATGTGTGGGAGGGGGGGGTGGGGGGGGTGCGGCGACTCTAGCAGACGCATCGCAGGGAGTGTGTGCTGCAGCCTGCAGCGGCGGCACTGCGACTGACGGCGCTGTCTCTCCCCCTCCCGCAGCGGTCAGGGCACCCCGCTCGGAGCAACCATCTAGCTGTCGCCTCGTACTTATTGCGCCGGCCCTTTTGCTCTGGGGACCAATCCGATCTCGTCCAATATCGTGCCTGCTCCGCCCCCTCGGGGCGAGACGGTGGGGCAGTTTGTCGTCGATCTCGCTCTTCCTCCTCTCAGTCCCTCCTCCCTCCTCTCCTGCTGTCCCCTGGCCCCTCTCGCCCCTCCCCTCCCTCTCTGTGAGATGCTCTGTGCCAGGGCTCGCTTTTGCGCGCTGCGCTTGTCCGGCGGGTGCCTCTCTCGGCACCTCCGCGCGGGCGCGGCGCCGCCTGCTGTGGACCCAGGCTCTAAAGTCGCATCTATCTCGCTTGTGCCACACTTGACCACACGGTTTTGTTTTGTGTGTTGATCGGTCATCTGCAAAATTACATCTGCAAACACTATTCTAGCAAACAAGGGCACAACAAATGTCCGCCTTGCATTTGTTTCATAACATCGAAGGCTAAGCTCAAAAATAAAGAAAAAATCGCAGAAAACGAGGCGTGACATGAGTGAGAGAAGCCGTGGTCTCCTTGTCCTTGAGAAGCCGGATCGCGGGCACCCAGCGCGCAGCCGCGAATCGCCTCCATGCCTACTGTGCTCCCGCGACGCCCGAAGCAAGCCCACGCCATGCTCATCCCATTTTACGATGCTGACGCTTGCCCGCCGTCGCCTGCGCGCCTCGTAGATCCGAAACGTGGGCGAGGCGGGCGTGCCGCGGTGCTGGGCCTCAAGCTGCGTGCGTTGCGAGTAGGTGCGGCCCTCTTGAAACACATGTTCATGTGCAGCCGAGGGCCATTGTCCGATATTATCTCCGAGATCGCTTTCGAGATCAGCATGGCACTCCAACTTCGCCGAGAGGGCGCTCGCTTATCACGCGCCCACCCTTGGCCCCCTTTAGACTTTCGGCAAGTATGACCTGCAGCGAATCAGACGACTGGACAGAGCTCGACCCCCGCGTGGACGCCCTAGCGGCGGCAGAGGCAACGCCATGGCGAAAAGTTTGCGCGCTGCGCTTCGTCAAGCTGGAGTGCAACTTCGTTATCTCCACGGGCTCGGAGAAAAACTCGGGGTGGACGACCGGTGCGAGATCGCCGAGCATCGCGATGGTACATCGTGCGCCGCGTGTGGCCCATTAGCGTCAAACTCCTCACGCCCCCCACACCCTGTGCACAGGCCGAAAAGGCTGTCGTCGCAGACATCGGCCGGCCCTTCTTGGATCAGGAATCGGGGCCGGCGGGATGTGGCGCGCGTGAGCCCTTTGCCTGGGGGGCGCGCGAGAGCAAGAGCATGCTTGGGGACGTCGCCGTTGACACGGCCTTGGCGAAGTGCGCCTTCTCCTATTCGTCAACGCCTGGCCGGTCTCCGGCAGAGAACATGTGCGGCTTGGGCAACGCGAGGTCCGCGACGATGGACGCACTCAAAAAGGCACAGGACTGCACTGCTTGGTAAGTAGGTTTCATACATTCCACGCGTCTCGTACGGGCCTAGGCGAAGGCGGCCGCCTGCGCGTCCTACGAGGAGTACCTCGCTGCGGCTCCTCTCATCGTCAAGACGCGCGGCGCCAACCGCCTTCGCAACGCCCTCATCAAGGGGGGCAAGTCTCGCGGCGGCGGCGTCGCCAAGTCTTCGACCGTTGCCAAAGGCGTGCACTTGGGGTGGACGGGCCCGATGCGCGGCCGTGCGCAGAAGGCGGAGCAGACCAGCTCCCGCACGGTCCAGCCTGCCACCTCCTCGCCGGCCATGGACGTGGAGCCGCCGACGGAGCGCGCGTCGGCGGAGGGTGAGGCACCGGCACCTGCGGGGGCGGCGGACTTGGAGCTGCCAGTGGTCAAGAACGTGGAGAAGCCGGGGGAGAACCCACCGTCCCTCCACAAGCCGGAGCAGGCGGGCGGCGGCGAGGCGCTGCTTGGCCCGCCACCCGCATCTAACACGTTTGGATGCTTCTCAGGAGCGCCCTGTCCGTGTCTTGTTCAAGAACCTCAGCGGCAAGACCTTTTCGCTCTCCGTCAAGGGCGGCACCACTTTCCGTCAATTGTCGGCCGAGACCGCCATTGTCTGCGAGGGAGGGAGCGTCTGGTGAGCTTCGCGTACACCCCTATAACCCCATACCTTCCTACACAAACCGTGGCCGTTCTCTAGGTTCGACGTCCCCGCCACCCGGCGGGCGCCATTCGGACCGGATGACGTCGTGCCGAAAGACCTCCCGGTGGACGCTGAGGTGAAAATCGTTGGCAGGATGCGAGGGGCGGGCCCTACCGGGTCGCATCGAGTGCCATCGCTCATGTCGAGCGCCGCTGGCGGCACGGACGACCTGAGCGCGTTCCTCGCGAATGTGGGTGCGGCAGAGTACGAAGGTGGCCTCCGAGAGCTGACCGACGGCAGCTTCGATGCGCTTTGCACTGCAGAGGAGAGGGATCTGGTGGCGGAGCCGGTGAAGATGCCGCGGCTGCTGGCTCGGCACCTTCTCAAAGAGCTCGCTAAGTGGCAAACACCCGCAAATCCGCTGGGTCCCACTGCCGCCGCCACCGTCACAACGGAAGCAGCGGTGACCACAATGGCTAGCCACAGCGGCAGCGGTAGCGGCGACGGCGGCGATGGTGCCGCCACCGGCGACGACGACAACGATGGCGACGTCGGTGGTGTGGCACAGGTCCAAGATATCGAGCAGAAGAAGGAGATCGAGAAGGAGATCGAGGAGCTTGCTGCTGCAGGCTCTGCGATGCCGGAGCTTGAGCCAACTCGCTGGGAGGCGAGCAAATCGGCCTTTGCATCGCAGGTGCAGGAGCGTATTAGCTCGAGCAAGCAGATCAGCAGCCTTTTGGAGGAGCCGAGGTGGGCGCGCAAGAAGAAGTTTCTGACGTGCCATTTTGCCTCCAACTGGAACGCGTACAGCAAGGATATTGACATCTCGGCCGCGCAAACCACGACCGACTTCATCGACTTCAGCACTGTCTTTGGCAAGGTTCCCCAGGCTGGACGTGCGCTTTACAACATTCCCGGCTATCAGCGCCGCTACGCGTGGCGGATTGAGCAGTGCCGCGACCTCTGGCAGGACATCCAGCTCATCATGAAGCTCTCAAAGAATGTCGCTCGCGTTGAGGGCGGACTCGGCGATGACTACGAGGGTCTGCGCGAGCTGAAATCGCGCACTGAGCAGCTCGTCCACTTTGCCAACATGGTGCTTGTTCGGCGGGCGGGCCGGCAGGTCAGCGGCAAGACCATTGACGGAGCAGCAGATTGCAACTTGAATGCGTTCGACGTTGTCGACGGCCAGCAGCGCCTGACGACGGTCGTACTCTTCCTCAGTGCCATCGCCAAGCACTGGTGGCTCCTCGCCGACGAGGCAGATGAGCGCTACGATCAAAGCCGGCGCGCCGACGCAGCGCTCAAGATCACTGACGAGTTTCTGTTTGTGACGCACAAGGCCTCGGGGGACTCGGATGGGGTCCGGCTTTTGCGCCTCAACGTGCCTGAGCAGGAGCGCGACTACTTTCGCAAGCTGATCGACCCAAAGTCGGATCCGCACACAGCCGACCTTCGACCGCCGACCGACTCGAGCGCCGCTGAGCGGATGCTCGTCGCGCACAACTTCTTCCTGGAGGCGCTGGAGGGCGAACGCAAACGGGTAATGCATAAGAGAAGCAGCAACCGTGACACGACCGTCGAGGACTGGGAGGCGAAGCTCACCGAGGTCTACACGGCGCTGACAGAGAAGGTCAAGGTGATCCTCTTCGTCGCGCCCGTCAACATTGACCCGCTCACGATGTTCGAGGCGGCCAACACGCGTGGCCGCCCTCTGGGCTCGCTCGACTACCTGCGCGTGTTCTTGCTGCGCCTCGCTGACCAGCTCTCCAACCCGGGCTCCGCATCGATGGTCGCCGAAGCGGCGGCGCAAGGGGAGGGGCGCGAGCTACTGCGGATGCGTGCCAATGAGCTGCGCCAGACGGGCGAGAAGCTCAAGGCTCGCGTGAACGACGTCTTTCAGTGCATCGTCGAGCGCCTCTCGCGCCATAACCTCGACTCAACGGTCAAGGACAAGTTTGGCGCGCCAGCGCAGAGCAGCGAGCAGCAGCTGCTTGCGCTGCACTACTTCCTCGTCTGGGCACTCCCGCTGCTCATGCGCGAGCGCTCAAACCAGGTGGCTCCCGACCAGCAAGCGGCGAAGATCGACAAGGCGATTGCGCACGAGTACGCGCGAGTCACCAAGGCCGAGTCGATCTACAAGCTCATGCGAGAGGAGCAGGAGCGTGAGATGCACGCGGGCCAGGTCTGGCGGGGCGTGAGCCCCGCCTGTCCGTCGGGCTGGGGAGAGATCGACAGCACCATCTCCAACAAGGAGTTCACCCACTGCTTGCTCCCGGACCTCGACATGGAGGATGACGCGGCAAAGCGACTTCTTCTGAGCAACGTGCTTGTCACCCGCCTTCACTACTACCTCGACACGCTCGACTCGTTCATGCGGGTGATGATCCCGCTCAAGTCTCCTAGCGGTGAGCTGATCCTCTCCGACGAACCGCTGAGCGAGCTTCCGCCGGAGAAGGAGGCACAGCATCTCGCGTGCCAGGAGGTGGTTCGGACGTTGCAGCTGACGGGGCACCGGCTCCCCGTCGAGCTGATCGCGGGAGCATGCGCGCTCTGGAAACCACGGGGCTTTGACGAAGACACCAAGTTCTACTTCAGCACACTCCACAGCCTGCGCGCGCACCTGTACCGCGGCTACTTCTTCAACTCCACCCCCAAGACGGGCGCGATCAAGAACCTACAGAAGGAGCGCGGTATTGCGCGCCTCTTGCGCCTGGCTGCGCAGCTGTTGCCCCTGCACCGGCTGGACACGCTCGAGCGACGCCACCTTCCCGGGCACGACGCCCGCAGGCTCGTCTACAAACTCGAGGTAGCGCCCACCACCTACCCTCGCCTCAAGGTCGCCGTCGTCAACATGAAGACGAGTGAGAGCGCCGCCGTCATCCGGTTTGTCAAGATGATGTGCAACGCGGTGCAGCGCGACTACATTCGTGGCCGCTCGTCGGGCCCAGAGCTTCTCGAACGAATCATCAAGAACACGCACACAGAGCAGGCTAAGTTCACTACTGGTGACGGCGGCGACGATCTCCGCCTCGAGGCCACCGTTTTGCCCAAGGCGGAGATCAAGACCCTCCTCAACAAGCCGCTGCTTGGAATCATGTTCATGTTCGAATGCGCGCACCACCACCCTCGCAGCTCCACGCCCACCTCTGACGAGCTCAGCACGTGGCGTAAGCTGTGCCGCATGCCTGTCTACGATCGGCGCGAGAAGCACAACTCGATTGGTGACTACTCAAACTTTGACCTCTTCACCGGTGAGGCGCTACCACGTGCGCAGCATGGCGTCGCCGCCAACGAAGCGCAGCTGGAGCACCTGATGCCTCGAGGTTACTTCATCGACGGTGAGAGGCTGCGCAAGTTCGAGAGCGAGGATGGCGGCATGCACCGCTTGGCTGATTGCGACAGCTTGGGCAACTTCGCGCTCACCAAACAGAGCGAGAATAGCAGCTTGCTGTCCATCAACCCGATCGAAAGCGAGGTGCTGGAGGAGATCTTCGAACAGAAGCGTGAGAAGATGAAGAAGTCCTCCTTCTGCGCCGTCCGCATGGCAGCGACGCACGCCGGCACGACGTTTCCCGAGATGCTCAAGGCGCGCAACGACCTTTTGAAGCAGTTTATCGACCGCGAGATCTGGTATCACAACGATGACGGCATCATGCATCGCGCGCACCCCGACATTCCCGAGCAGCGCAGGCTCCAGAACGGACGCCTGCTCGCGCAGTGCCCGGTGGCGACGCTGGACGCATTTCTAGCCAAGGGCCCCGTGGCCGAGGCCCACTACCTCGGCGTCGAGCGCTGGATATCGCAGGCGGGCGAGCCTGCGGCGTTGGCTGCGGCGGCTGCGGGCGCTAGTGGAGGAGGTGGCGGTGAGACTACCTTCGGAGCATTGGAGGAGGAGGAGGAGGAGGAGGAGGAGGAGGAGGAGGAGGACGAGGACGACGACGACGACGACGACGAGGAGGAGGAGAAGGAGGAGGAGGAGAAGGAGGAGGAGGAGAAGGAGGAGGAGGCAGCGGCGGGTGAGGCGGGTGAGGCGGGTGAGGCGGGCGAAGCGGCGGCGGCTCTGAAGAACAAAAAGCGCAAGCGGAACGGCGGCGGCGGCTCATCCAAGAAGGCGACGCCGACTAAGCAATGCAAAGTTTGCGGCAAGCATAACGCCGTCCAAGGCCACTATGGCTGCTGCTCGGCCGAGTGCAGGGCCCAGAACTCGGCCAAGAAGAAGAAGCCTGCCCCTCGCGGCGGGGCACCGACAGCCGGGCCGGTCGAGATCTGAGATCGCCGTCATTCAGCCACGTTCGTACCGTTCCCACGCGGCCGTCCGCAGCCGCCTTGAGGACGTTCTTTGGGACTTCACCACCCGGCGCACTGTCAGCAGACGGCGGCGGCGGCGGCGTGCGGAGCGCGGCGTTGGCGCGGGAGGGCGGGGCGGACATCCCACGATTTCTTTTTGTGCTCTTTCTCTTTGTCGCGGTGCCGCTAGAAAGAAAAGTATCGATGTGGAGGCGGGCTGGGAAGGTAAGGTAAGGTAAGGTAAGGTAAACGTCTCCACACACACAAAGTGGTGGGGCAAGGGGGGGGCACCCTCGCATCTCCACACCCGGACACGGGCAGGAGCCCCACGGCATTCAAAGTGCAAGGTTGTAGGACAGGCAGAAAGAAAGCTAGGTGGACAGAGAAGCAAGGACTTCAGATTCAGGGAGGGTCGGGTCAAGCAGCCCCAAACCGCCGTCCCCCCCTCGGACACTTCCCTCCCTTTCATGATCACCGGCACAAAACCACGCGGTTGCGAGTTGGCGGCGGCGCGACGCGCCTCACGCCCTCGCGCTTAGGATGCGGGTGCCCCACCGCGTCAGCGCGCGCTTGGAGAGGTGCTGGCACTGGTGGTAGGCGGAGCGGCACGAGTGCGCGAGGCCGATGGCGACGAGGACGCGCGCGAAGCGCATCCCGTTGGTGGCGAACATGGTGAGCAGGCCGATGATCCACGAGTTGGACACGTGCCTGCTCGCAGGGCGGGGCGGGGCGGGGGGTGGGGGTAGGGCGGCAGGGGGGGCAGGGGGGGCAGGGACAGGTCAGGGACAGGGACAGGCAGGGATAGGGCGGGGGACAGGGACAGGGAGGGGGGAGGGGGGGGTGGGGGGGGAGGAGGCGCTGCTCCACAGCCCCGGCCCACGGCACCCGCGCATTCGACACGCGCCTGTTTTGCAGCCAGGCGGCGTACAGCGAATGGTAGAGGCCGACGCACGCGACGGGCAACGTGCCGGCGACCACGCGGTCGCAGCGCGAGCCTGCGCGTGCGATGTGGACACGGCGCCGTCAGGGCGCGAGCAGTGGGGAGGTTCTAGGCACACAAGTGTGCAGAGCTCCCGCGTGCGTGACTCAAGGGGTTGCGACGCGCCCCCTCCCCTACCCCCACAGTACCCCCGAACCCACCGACCGCGGAGCAAGTTGCTACGGCGGGGTGCAGCGGAGCACGGGGGCTTCCTCTCGCTTGTGATCCGTCCGCATCTAGCGGCGTGGGCCCAGTGTCGGTGGGTTCGGGTACTGTGGGGGTAGGGAGAGGAAACCGTCCCCGCATCTAGCGGCGTGTGCCCCACCAGCGCCGCGCGGTGGCGGCCCAGCGCGGGCCCCACGACCTGCGGGCGACAGCGGTGGGGTGGTGAGGAGCTGCTGCTGTGGCAGACACCGGGGAAGGCTACGAGCCATGGCGCTACCAAGGGTTGGAGGGCTCAAACTCGACCAGCCGGTAGAGCAGCGCCTGAGGGGGAGGGGCGTGGAAGGGGGTGGAAAGTGCGTGGAAGGCTCGTAGAAGCTCGTGGATGGCTCGTGAAAGTTCGTGGACAGCTCGTGAAAGTTTGTGGAAGGCTCGTGGAAGGTCCTATCTCGGCTGCGTCTCGGCCGCCTCTCGGCTGCCTCTCGGCTGCCTCTCGGCTGTCTCTCGGCTGTCCCGCACCTCTGGGTGGAGAGGGCCGAGGAGGAGGGCGCCGGCGGCCACGGAGAGGAGGAGCAGGCTGACGGCAACCGCGCGCACAAGCCTGGCAGACGAGAGCGGGCGCGTCAGAGCGGAAAGAGCACTGCGGAGGCGCGCTTCGAAGAGGACGGGCGAGCGGGCGCCTGACACAGGAGGCTCGCGCGTCGTAAAGGGATGCCGAGAGCTGTGAGGCCTTCGGCCGCGCGCACGGGCGCCTAAGAGAGAGAGAGAGAGAGAGAGAGAGAGAGAGAAGAGAGAGGGGGAAGAGAGAGGGGGGAGAGAGGGAGAGGGGCAGCGGTGAGACGACGGGAAAGAACGATGTAGCGGCCGCGGTCGCCTCTCGTCTTCGAGCCACGCGGCGTACTCGGTGCGGGCGATGTTGTACTTGTACCGGCACTGCTCGCACTCGTACAGCGACGACGCGTTCGCCGACGCTGTTCGCCACTCGTTCAGACACGGCACGTGCACGTACTTCATCGAGCCTAAAGACAAGGAGCTCGGGCGGCGGCTGGCGGCTGAGCGGAATGGTGTGGGCGCGTGCGTCCGCGAGCGGCATCGGGCCGGAGCAGAGGCAGGGCGCGATGAGCCGGCCGAGCCCGTTCTCCCCCTCACCGCCAAAGCAGATCCGGCAGAGCGCGTCCTATGCGACAGTTCCGGGAAGGTTCGGGGAAGTGGCCCTCTGTCTCGCCCAATGGCAGGTGCGGCAGAGCAGCGGCTCCTCGGGCGGGTCGAGGGAGGCGGCGGGGGCGGCGGCGGTCGGTGGCGGCGGCGGCGGCTCGCCGCCTCCCTCCTCTGCGGACCGGGTCGGCTGCCCGAGGGAGGAGGGAGAGGAGGACGAACCGAGGGCCGGGCCTTGCGGTGGCGCCTGTCCGCTCGCTGCTGCAGCCGAGGCGAGAATCACGACCACGACGGGCGCACCGGTGACGCCGAGCGCGACCAACGACGTCGCGTCCCGATCGGGGCCGAGGACCCCGCCGTCAAAGCAGATGTGCAGCGTCTTGGCGGGCGCCGAGCGGGCAAGCGTGCACGAGCGGAGCGAGAGCGAGAGGATGCGGCGCCGCAGCTCGCCGAGCGTGGCCTGCTGCCCGACCGCCACCTTCTCCCGAGCGCCGGACGCCTCGACCACTGTGATTTCCATGCCGCGAATGCGCGAGAGGCTGTCGGCAAGGCGGCGCCTCAAAAGAATTCTTACGCCGAGCCTCTCTCACAGCACACTGGCACGACAAGGGCGCAGACTGGCGCGGACTGGCACACACACAGGCTCACCACCGGAGCCGCCTAAGCGACTCCGTTAAGAACGGCAATGCACTCCGCACCATGCACAATGCCGCTCTCCCCGCACGCTAGCTCGTTCACCGTCTGCCACGCCACGGCGGTGTGGAGGACGACAGACAAGCGCTGCATCTGCAGCCCGTGCCAGTTCTTGGTGGTCCATGTGACCTCGTCCAGGTGCTGAGCGTGCGAAAGTTTGTTGCTCAGCTGGTTCGCCGCCTCCCTCAGGGTGCTGCGAACCTCCTTTCCAAAGCCTCCGAAAGCCTCAAAATCAAACAAACGTAGATCGCAATCCTGCTGCCGCGCAAAGGGGTAATCGCCAGGCTGCTCCTTGAGCTTTCCCTTGGGGGCATCCTCCTCCTCCCCCTCCACCCCCACCTCCTCGGCC